ATCAACTTTACAAAATTATAATGATTATAAAGTACACAAAGATCTAATTTTATATTTAAGAAAAACTGGAAATTCCTACCAGGGAAAAAATTTAAAAAAAAGTAAAAATGTAGAAAATTTTTTTTAAAAACTATTATTTTGAGTGTATTATTATGTATAATATTATTTTTTCATTCAGAACTCAGATCTATGTATGTATGTATTATTTTATTTATTTTTAAGTTTCTAACGTACAATGAACACGTACATTTTGTAACAGTATTATTAATATTTATACAACGAAAACAGTTTTAATTAATCAACATTTTAAACATTACTTATTATTTTGTATAATTTTATTTTAGTTTGTAACGAAGAGTTGTTGTCTTAATTGTATTATTAATACCAATAGTTTATATTAAAAAAAAAAAAAATGTTTTAATTGAACTCCCGAACAAAACATATTCAGAAATATAAACTTGGCAACGTAGTCTATAAAAACGTTCGCAATCGTTCGTTTTTCGGCTAAAAAAACAAATTCTCTGATAAGCGTCATTCGTTCGCAATCGTGTTATAAAAATGGTAAAACGTTCGCAATCGTGTTGTACCCGATTAGACCACCACCGCCGTTATCATTTTGTTGTTATCAAAAAAAAATGTTATCTTAAATATTAAATTCTCACTCATATCAAATATTATTATTGTATATTATTTATAAATTAAATCCAAGTCTTTTGCTGGAAGTCATGTTACAATGATTGAAATTGTGTTTTGATAAAATTGATAGTCAATTGTACTTAGTAAAAAAAAAATACAAATAATAATAATAATATTATAAAATATTCATTTATTGAATAAAAACATTTTTATTATTTAATAATAATATTTATTGCAACCACAAGAATTTACAATTTTATATAAGTAATCAGAACAGTTGCAAACTCATTCTAAAAGCACCCATTGCTTGTATGTGGATAAGTTGTGTTCATAAAATACAATAAAGTTCCTTACAATATCAAAATATAATCACATCAAATACAATATCTCAAAAACAATTTAAAATGATATACATATTATTATATTATTAGGAAAAAAAAAATATATTGAAGATTATTTGATATGAATGGGTTATTCCACTTTATTGTTATTTGTACCTATATAAGTATAAGTATTATGAAACTCTTTTAGTCGTTTGATTAAATAATTGATTTAAATTTCTAATCTAATTAATTATTTTGTATTGTTTATTTAAATCATTTGTATCATTGTAACATGACTTCCAGCAAAAGACTTGGATTTAATTTATAAATAATATACAATAATAATATTTGATATGAGTGAGAATATAATATTTAAGATAACATTTTTTTTTGATAACAACAAAATGATAACGGCGGTGGTGGTCTAATCGACTGCGTATAGACAGACCCCAGACCTCGTTGCTTAATCAGGATTATAAAGAATTATTAAAATTAAGAATATATAAGACTACGATTATAAGAATTCTTTATAATCGTGTGCTTAACCATTCTATCACAGAATTCTGTGATTCTATCTCAAACCGTGCTTACAATTTTCATATTTGTTATTATTTATCAACTTCTTTGTGACAAACTCAATACCATAATATTATAATATGTGCAGTAAATTATAGTCAAATTACTATTCGGTATGTATGAAAATATATTTTTTTAAGTTTAGAAATAAATTTCGTCGAAATTAAAATATTTACAAGAATTCACAACAACCAACTTTGGTACCTAATAATATAATATAATGTACCTAGTATATCAAGGGCTGAAGTCATTTAAGTGTAAATCATTTTTGTAGTTTAATTTTGTAATCATTAAGATTATTTGCATATAATATTCAGTAGTGTGATTTTAATTTTTTTTTTTTAAGCTCCTGAAGGCTTTTTTATTATAACGATCAATGATCTTTAACAATGCATTTCAGAGGTGTACATAAATATTAAATATTAATGAATAAATATTTTAGTAAATAATAAACATATTATACAAGAACATGTTTGGGTTATCACTCCCAGTGGAGAGGTTACGGCCTTAGTCTAATATTTTATACTAACTCATATGGTCTTCGGCGTTTGAGACACCTTATCTCTTGAGCAGGACCGACTCGAGCAAAAATAGTGAACTAGAAAAAAACAAATTTGACCACCCCTAACAATATAACATTTTCAATATTTTGAAAATGCCGCCCTCTTACTAAAGTGCTGCTTAAGTGCCGCCCTAGGCGTGGGCCTATGTCACCTACCTCTTGAGCCAGGCCTGGTCTTGAGAGTTATCATCAAATCTTGGTGGATAGTGTAATTTATATTGAACCGGTATGCTACGACAATTATATTACGGAGAGCAATGTCTTGTCAATGTTGGATAATCTCAATATTGGACTTACTGGCACATTTTTTTACAATTGATATTAAAACTATTGAGAAAAAAACTGTATAATATAATAAGGTATTAGTACAAAAATGTTTATTATTAAAAGTACCTTTTTAAGTATTAGGCATCTATATTTTAATTTAAGATTTACATTTTACTTTGTACTGTCAATAATATAATGTCTGAAATTAAAACATGGTATAATATAAATTATAATATTAGGGATTATCCTTAAAATATGATGGTATTTGTTGGACCAGTAATGATTGATCATAAAGCTCACATAGCTAGTACTTGAGGATATTTTACATTTGAAGGAATATAATTAAGTTCTATTTTATTTTTTGATTTTTACAGTAGCAATTGGTTATGTATTGGGTGGGTGTTTGAGAGATATAACACTACCTTTAGCACGTGTTATGTATAAAATATTTTGTAATTTATAGTATGTTATGAATTTATGTCATTGATCTAATATGAACAGGTACCAATTGTGATCTAGGTGAATATTTTTATTCTAAAATTAAATATTCACAAAATTGAAGTTGGATCGTAAAATAACTGAATGTAGTTTAATTAGTGACTAAACGTGTCCTTCATGGCCGTCAAATAATAGTTTTTGGGTTTTGGTGGCACAATTCTACCACTTTTCTTAGAGCTGTTTATTTAATAGCGGAGAAGCACCATTTTGTTTAATATTGTATTGTGATTTCAACTAGTTGACTATTACACAAAACACCGTGACTCAATTTAACACATGTCATATTCTTATTGTCTAATATTAAATATCAATCTTTTAAGTACTGAACACACGTATTTGGCTGCATGGAAAAACTTTGAATAATATAATATTTTAAATAAAATGTATTCAAGAATGGTAATTCTTTTAATATTGACTTTGACTTTGTTTTTTTAGATTCTGAGGAGCAATGTTGATTTTACAATGATGTGTTTTTTTATTATTTATTTTTAGTTATACAATGTAGATACACAATGTAATTTTTACTATAAATAAAATAAAGTTTGTTCACTTACAGCTCCATGTGAACTTGGTATCTATTTACATTTTTTAACATGTTTCATATTTTTTATCAAAACAAAATTAATTAAAATTCTAAAATTCTAAAATTTTATAAATCACAGTTTTTAAACGCTTCTTAACAATTTTTATATTTACCCTAAAATTATGTAGCATCCCATGTCTTTTTTTACCAGTCCTATTTTTTTTAATGTTTATAGATTTGTAAAATTAAAACTTACACATGATTTCAATAAGTTATAACAAAGGTCTCTCTAATATTTTACAACTAATTATCAAATATTATTATTATAATAAAAAGGGGAAATAACATTCATGACATAATTTGTTTTATATATGGTTAATACTACTAACGGAAGGTTAGTGTTTCTTTTTATATTATTAGGGCTTGGATTTATAGTAAATACATATTTTTACTGTGATCAATAAATGATAAATATTGGTACACATGACTTTCAATTCAATGATGTATTTATATTTTAATTTACATATTTGCTAATATGTGCAAATGTGCCATATTTATATACATTCAGTAGTCTTATTGTATTAAGTTAATATATACATAATATAAAGTATCAAAGTACATGATGTAGGACATGATATAATTTTTACTTTTATTCTTCATGAATAAAATAATGTTTTTTCACTTACTAATCATTATAAAATTTTATAAATCACAGTTTTTAAACTCTTCCCTACAATTTTTGTTACCCTAAAATTATATAGCATCCCATGTTTTTGATTACCAGTCCATGCCTACCTATTTGGTCGTTGTTTGGTCAATTCATGAATTTACATTTAACAGATTATAAATATAATAATAATTGTAGTACAAATTACGAATAATATTGTATTCCACAAATTGTATTTAATCTCTCAGCCATTATTGTAAAAAAATTAATATTTCTATGTTTAAAATGTAATGAGGAGGTATCAAAATAATAAAAATAGTAATAAGTAACCACTATACCTATAATATAAGCGCTCATTTAGAGAATATCTTAAAATGATAAAAATGATTATATTATGTTGATATTTTAGTGTTTTAGGTATATTACATTTATAAAAGTTGTTTTTATTTTGTTTTTAATTTATAAAAATAGTCGTTAATCATAATAAACTTTTTGTTTTAAAATTGTATTTTACCAATATCTTATATATCTAACCCAAAATACTAGATGAGTTAGATTTTTTCTTTACAGACAATTTTATTCACCTGACTACTGTCAAATATGAAAATAAATCTATTTTTATACTTACAGGGCTGTAACAATATATTTTTATCTGCTCATCACTCGCTTTAAAATAAAAATATCAATATAAACTTCAAAGAACAAAAATAATGTTTTTTTTTTAATTTTATAGTAAGTTAATTAACTTTAATATTGAAACTAACAAAATGTAAACTGCAAATCTAAATATAATCAATTATCACATTCAATACCTAAATTAAAATTAACTGGTTAATTCAAATTTCCAAATTGTTTACAGGTAAGTGCAGATGACTGTCCATTTCCCGAATTGGATATATGGTGTCGAGTTTAAATTACATCAAATAAACCAACTGAGCAAATTCGAATATGGATTACTCACTGAGACTTAATGTACCCTCTGATATAGTCCCTGATCCTTCTCCTATATTGAGGGTAGCAGATTCAATAGCGTTTCCTCCAATTGGCTCAGTATATTCGAATCTTCGTTCGCTACCTTCAAATAGGGATACCGCCTTTAAGCTGGGGTGTAGTACACAATCTTATACATCGTGGAATGTATCCTCTCGCTCATTTGTATCTGCAATCTGTTACAAAGGTCTCGATGTAGAAGCCTCTGAAATACCAATTCCGACCTCTGTTTGTTCAACTGGTCCTGATGTAAATGTTAGAGCTAGCTGCAGTGTTCAAACACAAAAGCAAACATCACCAATAGTAAATTCCTCTACCACTGCACCACCAGCCAAACTGTCTACTTGGTATTCTGATACCTTGCCTGTACGAGTTGTGGATACTCAGTCTATTAAACCTGACTACGAACGTAACATTCCAATGCCATATAGTCCCTTATTCAAAAGTATGGAAAATATTCTTGCAGACCCCACTTTCCTCGTAGACGACGAAGACGAAGACGGCAAACCTATATATAACGAGCGTTTAAAGCCAATCTTATCTCTCACGGAATATCTCCAGCCCATAAAGTCTGAAATAGAAATTATGTTTGAAGTTGCCCCCCTCGTAAGGCTAGGTTGCATGTCGCTATCAATCTCAAAACAGTGTTACGAGACTGAGATAATAACTCGTCGCATAATAAGAGGGTTTGAACAAACTGAATACTTGGGATGTGAAATAACACAGGAAACAAGGCGTACACCTGTTTCAAACATATTGGCATGCACCTTAAAAGAGTTTACCGAAATGTCCCAAAAAAAATCAATGGATCCCGATAACATCTTTCAGGATAACAAATGGGATGGGGAATGGACAGCGGTACCAATAAGCAATCAGTTTGTTAAAAATAGATCTGCTGTGCCATACATTGGTAGCTTCCTGACAAGTGAATTTTATAACGGAAAGGTTAACCATGTATATCGTGGATATTATTCAAATGCAGAAGGAACAAGAAAGACAGAGGCAATTATACGGACGATTCCCTCAGCAAACAGCGTCTACATTGGTGGGCCTAAAAATATAATGCTGGTCTTAGTTGACGAATTAAATTCCTCTAATAGATCCAATGTCAAACTCTTTAATTTCAACGTTCCCATTTATACTGGTGCAGCTCAAGTTAAACCAGTCCAGTTTGGTCAGATATGGGATGCTTGGTGGTGCAACAATAATCTGCTCTATATCGAAAGGGATGTGCAGTTCGCCATGGATGAAGTTGAAAAACACCTTGCTGTGAAAAACGCTGCAAACATAGCAACATCGATGCTGGCTGAGTTGTACTCTGCAGCTTACCTTGGTATTGCCGTAGAGCCGAACCAAGAAAGTATGACTTATAACTGGCAAGTACCAGTCAGTGGTGGATGGAGTCTGTATCCTAATGACAAAATTTCTTCGGGTTCTAGTGCAAAGCTAAACTTTTGGTCGACGGCTGATGGAGATGACCATATAGCCGCACGACGCCGTATTACAGGCTACAACTTCTCTGCGTTGACTTCCTGGCATAGACCATCAACCGGGGTGGTTAATACTGAGTCACAATCGTCAATATTTCCAAACACTGGACAAATGCGGGTTTGGTCAACAACTGTACCAGTTCGCTATTTACCAGGATATTCTATCACAACGCTTAATTCTGTAATAAGAATCTGTTTTTACGTAAAACTGTTGTTGGCACACAAGACAATAGTGAATAACAACTATATAGGATCATATGTACACTTGCTTTCTATGGTAATGGGGGCCCAGACCTCACTGATATTCTCCCAGACCAACCTGTCCTTATCAGTTTGGAGTGGGTATTCAGTAGACATGTTACACTATGGTATGATGGAAAAAGTATTGAAGGTTGCAACTCTGGGAATATCGATTTATTCAGACCAAGTGGCCATCGTCAAAAAGTATGGCAAGGATGCAATCATTGAGTATTATGCCATGGATCCGTTTGAAAATGTGAATTGGTACTCTTATACTCCTTACCCACACTTCCTCGTTCAGCAGTGGTCATCTAAAATTAACACGCTGATTGGGAATGACGACAACAGTTTAGATTACTTTACATCCCATGATGATAATGAGAACATATTGGGGATCTTGCTTTCTAAAGATACATTGCAATATCGGTCAAAGTTAGCTTGCACCATAAACACCGATCAATATTTTCCTATGGTTGTATATCCGCCGAAGAATATGATGGCATGGGTGGATAACTGGTCTTACCTCTCGGAAATCTCGGTGAACATTTATGCTGATGTGAACAAGTCCAACTTGGCTTCAAACGAACTAGTACTGCCCATGGTTTGCAATGGACACAGTTCAAGGCCCGAGATCTTTTCATACATTGTAGGGTCATCCTATGTGTACCGGGATCCCAAATTTCGAGATACAGACTTCTCAGACATAAAATGGCACAAGCCCAATGACCGTCTATTATAATATCATGAAAAGGGCAAATATTTCATACATAAAAGATAACAAGACAAGAATATGATTATTGATAGACAAGAAGTTGTTACACGCTTAATGTTATATTCAATGCGATTCTTATTAATATTATATTTTAATTTAAATAATAAATTAAATCATGTAGTTATATTTAAATATTTTACTGAACTGGTTAATTTTTAATTCAACATTCAGGTACGGCACTAGAATTTTTTTTTCGGGGAGTGCCAATTGGAGCAGATACTTTTTTTACATGAGCTAGTGTTTTTCAAAAACTACAGGGATTGGTATTTTAAAAATAATACCATTATGACTATATAAAGTTTTTTTTTATTTGTTTAAGGACACAATTAATATTAACAGAGACTTTAACAAACGACTACTGACTAGATAGATTAACAATGATATACTAATTATTGTTAATTTAACTTTTACTTTTATAACATAGGTACACCTTTATGACTGAATAGTGATGACATTTTAACTTTTGTTTCATAAAATATTATAAATTAAAATTATTGTACTTAGTATTGAACAGATTAATTTGGTAGATACTGGAATTGTAGGCAATGATTTATGCCTTAGGGTACCTATCTTCATTTCAATACAATAGTCAATACTTAATAAATAATTAAGAAAAAGTGTGAGGAATCTATCAAAATTTCTAATGTTAGCTATGAAAGGAATACTTTTATAGTTTTATGAATATTTAACTAAAAAATAGTTTAAACATTTTCGAAATTTTGATGAATTATGTCAAATTTTGAACTTAAAATACATATAAAAAGAACCATGCCTATGTATCTATAATAGTATAATATTAAAAACTATAATATATATAAGTTATAACTATAACGTTAATAGAAAATTTGCATTAAATTAAAATAAATTGCAACTAGGTATTATCGGTACCCATGAAGGTATGTAACGCCCATTTTTATATGTGTGCATTGCGTACTGTTTGTTATGATTCTTGTTTCCATGTTACTTACGTTAGTTTTGATGATTACTTTGGTATTTTATGTACATTATAATATAAAGTGTGGTATAACCACTCGTAAACAACAATACACAGCGTAATAATGATTAAAAAAATTAATACATTAATTACCAAATGGAGTTTTAATAGATAATCATAATAAAAATTAAACAATTTCGTAAATAATTAAATTTCCGCAACAAATTATACAGAAAAATAAAGAATAGTATTGCAAATATTTAATTCAATATAATTATATTGTTGTGTCATTGATAAATTTATTCTATTAAATCAATAATAAAAGTGTAACCTATTGCCATATTATCACTTATATAATATTACAAAAGAATTGTATTTCTCAAATATAATCTAGGTATGCATAATACAATTAATACGAAAAATACTGTTTCGTTTTTGATATTCAAGTTTAAAGTGTCCAATGAGGATAACTTTAAACAGTGATGTGGCCAGTGACAGTTGGGGAAGAATCATAATTTATTATTAGGTATTTCTTTTATTGGTATAGGTACCAACTACAGTCTACTATAGTTCAGGGATGGCAAATAAATGGCACCCGAAAGACTCATAGTTTCGTGTGTCTACGTATACATATTTATAAACCTTGCAAGCAACAGCATATTACATAGATATAAAAAATCTTTCAAGCAATATGAAGTAGAATGTTTCTAACAATCAATAAAAGTTAACTTTTTTAATAATTTTTCTACATTATTAACATTCATTTTTAATTTATAATTTGTAAACATTCTCTGTGTTAACAAAATTAATTTGTGGCACTGCTGAATTTTTTTTTTAATTGTGTCTTAAATTGACACGTTGACCAAATCCTATTTGCCATCCCTGGTAAAGCTACTTTACTTGGGTACGCAAAGGTATAATATATTAACGAGGATTGAAATAAGCCAATAAATAAATACTGTTGTACTCGTTTTATACGTTTACCTACCTATAGATTATGATGTCTTTTGACTTTTATATTCTGATATCTCCGATCAATGTGTATTGTAATTTTACAATAATTGTAGTGTAATACATAATTATTATGTGTGTTTTTTGTATGTGTAGGTACGCGGCGTTATATAGTAGAAAAATGCTTCGATCTTAGGTGGTGATTTCTGATAGCAAATTGGATTGCATAGGTTGGAGCACATTTTCAATTTTTAATATAATACTTGACAATAGTAAACTTTAAAATGTTATAAATTTGACAATTTTCACTATTAAATATATTTAAAAAATCAAAAAATACTAAATATACGCTCCGACCGACGCGAAGAAGACTTATTGAAAAATTCAAATATTTTTAAATTTTTAAAATCCTACAACTATAAGTATCCTAATTTTTTTCAGACGTTTTGAAGGAAAATTGATAGGTACCTGCGCAGGATAGAAGCATGGCCAAATCGAAGAAAGTCGCTTCTTGGTAAAAATTGTCTATTCTGTGTAATCTAGTTTTAACTTATTCGTACTTGATGTTGTTGATAATTTTGTTAATGATTTCTATAATGGTTGGTATCAAGATCAACCTCTTAAAATTAACCTCCTAATAAAATATATTATGGCCCTTTAAAACCAAAATAGTCAAAATATGCACTAAAAAAGGTCGAGTACATAGGTATTTGATCCCAAATGTTGTGAATTGTATTTTGAAACTCACATACCTATAACAAAATTGACTTCGTACATTATTATATAAGATACGCCTTTTCGTTGTTACGGTTACTTTTTTTTATAACAAGTTTATGATTAATAGATTATTTTCTTATGGATGTAAAATATCGTGTTATTCTAAGTAACTTGTATGCGATAATATGCATTACACACACAATTGCCCCTAAATTGCCTATCCCGTGCGCCGACCAGATTTTTACGAAAAGGTGATGTGTAAAACAAAATTCGGTAAACTTTCTATCGAAAAAAAAACTGAAATAATTTATATTATAAACGGTGTGTGTATAATGTTAAATGTATCTCAGGTTTCTAATCATTGACTTAATGTCGGAAGCCAACTATGGTTTTTAAAAATACACACAATATTATTTAACAAGATACCTACAATTTACTTGCCAAATATTGTACACTTGTCACTTTTATATTCATGCAGTGTTGGGAAGGAACGCGTTCCTTTTATAGGAACGAAGCTCGGAACGCGTTCCATTTAAAATATAGGAACGAGGAGCGGGAACGAGTTCCTATTTTGAAGGAACTTGAACGAAAATTTCTGTTCCTCAAATAATGAAAAAAAAATATATAAATATATTTATCTTTAACACGTTGAGTGCCACAGTATATTTTATGAAGCGCATATATAGTGTGTTTCCGCGCCAAAACTGAGCCGCTCCTAGAAAGGAGTGAGTTAACCGATTTCAGTGGTGGTCAATGGTGTTTTTTGCGAAAAATTTTTAAGTCAGAAATAATCGGTTAACTCTCTCGGTTCGATTATTTCTGACTTAAAAATTGTTCGCAAAATACACCATTGACCACCACTCAAATTGCAAAAAAAGGAACATGAAGGAACGTGAACGCGTTCCTTTTTAAAAGGAACTTTCCCAACACTGTATTCATGATACCTGATTAAGCGTGCGGCATTTTATACTGACAACAATTTTACAAGTACCTATCTAAGCCATGAGGAAAATATTTTTTTAACTCGACAAATCACAAAAATGACAATCTTACTCCAGTCTGCAGCTATTGCTGCTGAAGATTCTATATTTCTTATTAATGATTCATATTAATGATTTAAGAATTTAAATCGTGTCAATACGTTAAGTTAATATTGTAGTATCGCCCGTATATAGTGGTACCTGGTGTAACCTACTACATGTCTTACTTTCGCACCCTTTTAGCAAATGACTCTCTCTGGAAGTCTAGAATGAATTCAGATCAGCACTGCTAGCTTTGTTGAGGTGCGAAGGTAGGTGCAATAATTGTCGATCCTACGACCGTTCCTGAAAAATTGGTAGTCGTATGACTATCATGATTTCATATACCGTAACCGTTGTTGCGTAACGATATTCACTTTAAATAATTGATAAACTTCATTGACTATAGATAGGTACATACGTATATTTCCCAGTGACCTAGTACTGTTTCCATTTAAAAGATAAGGACGCAGAAGACTTCACTTGAAATGATATTCAAACTCGGGTTTTTGATCGGAAACACTTTTACTCAGGTCTCAGGTGTACAACAATTAATTTAAAAAAAATCACAAAATCAAAATACTTGGTCAGTATTATACTCGAGTACAATCTAAAAAATGAAAAAACCTAGTCCCTTCAGCAGCGCTTGACCCTACCAAATTCAACGAATGCGTTGCACACGGTACAAATCACTCTTGTTCAGATATTCGTTTAATATAAGCCTGTAAGGTATATAATCCATTGTAAATGCCTGACACATTTGTAAGGCTGGGCAAGGTAATGATTTTTTTTTAACTCAGTTAAGTTAAGTCAATACCTATGCACCAATAACAAAAAGTTAAAATTTAATTTAACTATAGGTTAACTCAGTTAAGTTGAAAGTTAATACACACTTTCTGTTAAGTAACTTTTTATTAATTTAAAAAAGTGCCTAAAAGCACTCAGTGATAACGGGACTGCCCGTGGCTGCTGGGCTTACTGCGATGTTCCAAAGCAAAATATTAAACATCTTGCTTTGCTGGCCTGACCTATATTAATAATTAATAGTTATTAAGATATTCCCACAGAAAATTGACACATCAGCTGTCTTCAATGTACACGACAATATTAAATATTAGTTATGCAATTCGTTACTTTTTTGGGTAGGTACTAACTTGTAGTTTAATGGGTTACTCCCCACACAGCACAAATATATCTAGTGGTTATACAGCGGATGTACTTTTCAGATATCCATAATATCCATTAAACATTTATGACATCCAGTGGATATCTATCAGATATCCAAATGTCCGTTTTTTTGGCATTTTTTGATATGCGATTTCAATATCCATTAGTTGTTTATTGAAGTTAACCATGAGATGTCCTATGTTATCTAATGGATAACCATAAGCAAGCCCGGATTAAGGATCATTCGGGCCCCGGGACACCATATACACTTAGTAGGCCCCCTTTTCAACTTTAACTTCAAAACAATTGTATCATTACATATTAACGACTTTATATTATTATATAATTTTTTACTATACAAAAAATATACAGGGTGTATCTTATGTCATAGTACCTACACGGGGTTTTCTTTTAACAATTACGGATCGATGATATGGAATTTCGTTAAAACAAAAAAAGACGTGTTTCTTTATTTTTAACAGGCATTTTTTTTATAACATTTCCAAAATTTTTAGACACGCAGTTGTACCAATAATAAAATCGACTTTATTTTTTCAAATAGTACCTCTTAACCATTATATTTTTGTATGGATTCTGGTAAAGCTTTTTGTCGGAACATTTTGACACTTAAACGATCAATTTTGGTTCTCTAGGTTATTAAGTATGGTCCTCTAAAGTTTAGTATAAAATGCATTAATACTTTTAAGTTTTAACTGAAATACCTAATTTACAAGAGCTAAATATTTTTTTCTTATAAATTTCTACATACTTAAATAGTTAAATCAGTAATCGAAAATGCTCAGAAACAAAAAAATATAAACAAAATTGTTGGCAATCACAGTTCATTATAATTATAGTAATTTTTCGTGATATAAAATTGAGAACAATTTTATTTTATAATTATTATTTATTATGTAATAATAATTTACCTACTACCTATACCTACCTAATTGAATAATTTTTTTTTTTAACTATTGGACGAATTCAAAAAATATATTTTCGGGATAAAGATGGGCCCCCAAAATCAATGGGCCCCGTGACCATAAGTTATTATTTATGTACTTATATACATGTATCCAATGGATGATAGTTTGAGATATTTTTTTAGGTATTATAAGAATACAGTAGCAAATTTAGATTATGTTTGTTAAACTGTATTAATGAAGAACAACAAATTTAACATGTCAAGATCTTGTAAGTTGTAACACAAGACGTATCTTGTTGGTTTTACCATCAAGTTGATATTTTTCTCCGATATATTAAAACTAAGTTAATTACCTACGTTTTTATATTAACCATTCATTTACATGTAATTGTAGTTTGAGATTTATTTTTTATAGTAGAGTTGCAGGATATAATAATTATAGAAATGTCCAAGACTATACAGAAAATGTCTAAAACACCTAGTGAAATGTATATCATTACCGATTTGAGTTTGACATAATATTATATATAATGGGCATCGGTCTCATATAATAGAAAGTCGATATTAAATTATTTTAATATTTTAAGTTTCATGGATCCACAAATAATATGTTTAAATTATAACAAAACTACTATAATAATTGTTATTATTCGTTTTTTTAGTTACAAAATAAATTACTAAGAACCTTGTTTTAAATTTTCAATCCTTAGCTATACAAATTGATTATTTTATAAAATAATATACACAACCAGAAAATAATTCATGATATTATTACCTATATAAATTCGTGATTTATTTTAATTATTGTTAAGACGAAAGGCATTTATGCAGAAACATATTTTCTATGTTTTTAAGTAATCTTAGACTAAAATCACCCATTACAAAAAAGATAGTTATATTTTTGAGGAAATGACGTATCGATTTATCTAAATATTGTCTTAAAACAATTTAATCATCATTTAAATTTACAAAATTATTTTGTTTAGGTATTTTGAAAGTCGAATACAAAGTCAAATACCTAACAATAAAATATAAAATTGATTTCTCAAAAATATTATTTTCTCTATTTTTTGTAATGGGTGATTTTACTCTAAGATTACGTCTTAAACACAGAAAAAAAACATGATTCTGCGTAAATACGTTTTATCTACGTTGCGCCTGGGCCAGAGAGAGAAAACAAAAAATGTTACGCTGACATCCTCTTTTAAGAAAAATAATTGATATTTGATAAGCCAACTGTTGGTCGCTCCGTATCACGTTATCTCCTACAGTCTTATCATAGAGTATTACCATTAATTGAGTAAACTAACTCACTAATAACTTACTTACTCACTTACTAGTTACTACACTCACTTACTTACTAACTTACTTACTGATGTTTACTGTATTATTATCTATGTGTTTACTTAATCAATGGTATTAATCTATGAGCTCATACTAGACTATTAGAGTAGTAGAGTAATATCGCAGAATAAATTATTATAATATTAATCTACGGCACAGTAAGGGAACGGAAGCTGTCTTCAGTCTTCATGTTCACACTTAGATAGTTCAGCAGTTCACACTTTACAGAAAGCCTGTCAGTCAGGGAACCTACAGAAACAAAATAAAATAATCGTTGGTATATTTGTTTAAATGTTACCACCTTCTTGTCGGTAGCAGGCTGAATATTTTATAGAAAAATCTATACAATGTCTCTTAGAGAAGTGTTTAAGCCTAAAAGCTTGAAGATCTCTACCACGTTTATCGACGCAGATGGGAGAGAAAAACAGGTACACATTAATCCATTCTATTGAATAAAATAATCTTATTTCGGATGACAGGTATCTTTGATATTGTTGATTCCATTTTCAGATCGAAACTAGGGAAGACGAAGAACAGTCCCAGAAACTGCAAGAAATTGTAGATCTGTTAATTGCAGCTGGATATTTTCGTGCTAGAATTAAAGGCTTATCTCCATTTGACAAGGTTTGAACGATCATTTTTTTTTTTTTACCAAAATAATTACTTATCTGGTATGTTTATTAAATACATGTGCACACAGATTATTGGAGGTCTTACTTGGTGCATAGATAATTGTAATGTTGACTTGGACATTAATCTGCATTTCGATGAATCTTTAGTCATCGGTCAAAAGATGTAAGTTTTCACATTATTTTAATTTAGATTTGTAAATACTATTTAAAAATATATAAATTATTGTTATTAGAGCACTCACAGAAAAAATTGTGTCCGTCCTACCTCAAATGAAGTGTCCTTACCAGATTGAGCCGCATCAAATTCAGGGCCTTGATTATATCCATGTATTTCCTGTTGTTCAAGTAATTGCTATTGACTATTGAAGAATCATTATTAAGGTATTATTATACTACCATGTTCATCTGTGTAAACCGTTTGGTTTACACATTACTATTTACTACACTGTACCAAATAGAAAATATTCAACAACTTCATCATGAAGTCAGGTGTGTTGATGATGAATAGTAAAATTGTTTTATGTAAACAATATTATATAATTTGGAGAATAACAAGAAATTTATGAACACCGTGATAGTGTAATAGTACCTTTATTAAAAATTTTATTGCAATCATATTCTAAATGGTATAATGTTTACAAAAATTGATTTTCAGTGGTTAGTGAAGCGTTCCATAGAAAAAAGAAAAGAAAGAGGTGAATTCTTGATGCTCTATGCTGCTAATCAATTTGATAAGTTAATTTGTTTTAAAAATGTCTTGGAAAGTGAACCCAAACATAAGGAAAGATGTAACCATCTTAAAGTAAGTAATATAAAATATAATACATTGTGATTTAACTGATGACTTGAAGTAGTGTCACTAAATGGCTCCCTTTATTTACGTCATCCAGCTTTTTCATTGTAAAGGTCTCCACACACTGCAGCGGTGGCGGTAGCGTTTACGGAAAAATTAGTCCGGACACATTTTACCGCCATCGCTGCAGTGTATGGCGTCCTTAACCCTAAACAGACATATAATATATATTGGAATTATTTATTTCAACCATGGGCCAATTTAACTTTTTAAAGGTCATGAGGTTATAATTATGACACTTGTTTTATACTTTTTTGTGAACCTGAAATGTCTCTATGGGCCCAATTCCCATGTGGCTTCTTAGTTCTTTCGCATACAACATTTGTTTTGTTTTATTTTTACAGATTATACATTTTCTTATTGGTTAATTTTTAAAATAAAACACAAAACATAAAAAAATCTTATGAACTTGAAATAGTAAATTTATTATTGTAAATTCGTAAAATAGAAAAAAACGTATAATAATACCACTTAAAAGATTGTCAGCACGATATTTGTTCTCTCTCTTAGACACATGTATAACATAAATAAAATTCTTCCACTTAAAAAGGTTTTTATTATTTTTATTTTTATCATTAACACGTTCAACGTCGTCCTTGATTTCAGAAACGACGGAGAAAACAAAAAATAAAACCACCCATACCTTTAAATGTAGAGTTTATTGTCAATGGCCTATCTAAGTTTCAGAGTTTATCAAAAAAAATCTGATTTAATTAAAGTGTGACCGGGCCTGTTGGAATTAACTCTGTCTACTCTGTTGACGCGTATACGCATTAGCGTTAAAAGTTTTAAGTAATTTTAGAGTAAAATCACCTATTACAAAAATTATAGAGGATTATATTTTTAAAGATATGACATTTTGATTATATATTTTATTATTATTTAACTTTGTATTTTGAGACTATATTTAGAAAAATTGTTATGTCATACTCTCAAATGCATTAGTCTATATCATTTTTGTAACGGGTGATCTTACTTTAAGATTACTTTAAAATATAAAAAGAATGATTCTGCGTAAATGCGTTTAGTCTATGTTGCGGGTGGGCCAGAGAGAGAAAACAAATAGTACCCTGACATCCTCTTAACCTTTATTATCTAAACAAAAATTAAATTAAAAGTATGCCTAATATGTTTATTTATTTCAGAAATGTTTGACGGGCAATAGGACAAATAAATCCTTTCACAAGGAAGAGCAGAGAATAATGGAATGTATTGACGATATATCTGAACCTGAAGACATGGAAAGTTGTGAATGGTTTATTAAAAAGCCTTTTGATGCCAATGACTTTATTGAGGTAATTAATGTTTGCATGTATAATATACTCATTTTTGTATTACTAATTATCATTATTGTTTTATTACTATTTAGACTGTGATGACAGATGAAGAAAAAATTGCCAAGTTAAAAGAAGAAAATGAAAAACTAGCTGAAGAGTTAACACAAGCTCAAAAAGAAACAGAAAAAATTGAGTGTAAAATAGAAAAAATAACTTTGCAGAATAACAACATGGGTGAGGATAGAAAACGGTAAGTAATTATAGAAACACTTGTGGTAGATAAAAATATAAAATAAACTGAACACTAAATTTGTTTAATATTTTTAATCATTACTTTTTTTACAGGGAACATGAAAAAATTAAAATTCTTCTAACCGAGTATGAAAACGTGAAGGAAACCGAAGAAACATTTCAAAAAGAGTGTGAAATAAAAATGGAAGAGTACCAGCAAAAAATAGAGTACACTAAATTTATATATTATATTAAGAGGACGCTACCTATGTATTTGTTGTCTCGTTTTATACACTTACAACTTAGCAAATGTTCGTTCACTAGTTTTAATAGTGTGCTTTTAATTTTGATATTAGAGTGAATTGATCTATTATAAAACTTTTAGATGAGATCATTATCTTTGCTAAAGAGGATGTCAGCATACTATTTGTTTTCTCTCTCTGACCCATGCACAACATAGCAAATTTTAAGTTCACAATATTAATTATAATTATAATAATTTCTAAAATTAGAGTCAAATGAACTCTTATACAATTTAAAGGTAAGATTATTATTCAAGGCATCTTATAGAATTATCATTGTATTTTAATTTCAAAGCTTGTTATGAGTTTTAAGATGTACAAACAATTTACAATTATAAAATACTCATAACTTTGTTTAAAATTAAAATATAATAAAAAGCCTATGCTATGTACTAAAGAGTAATATTACCTATTTACTGTAATATTAAAAATGTTAATGATTATAATCATTATTGTGAACGTACAATTTGGTATGTTGCCTATGGGTTAGAGAGAAAACAAATAGTGTGCTGTACAGATCCTCATATCTTCTTGAGTGTCACATTTATTTGATATTTCAATTTTAAAGCTATATATTTAATTTGTCGTTTATAGAATGGTCGCATCTAATTGTTTGACGTTTGCCTTATTTTTTATTTTATTTTATAATCGAACACAATTAACAAATTTACAGTTTATACATTTAAATATTTTAATACAATACATTTCTTAAAAATTTTTAAGTATTATTAAAGCAAGAAAGAAGGGTCTCGAATTGCTAAATACATGCAGTGGCGTAGTGGCTCATTTTAACCAAAATTAGTTGAGAAAGTTGGTAGTGAAAAGAAAATAAGGTGATGTGAGATCTAGACTGGAACATTAAAAGAGATTTGGGAGAAAAAGTAAGGTTAATACATTTTTCCTCCTTGTAATAATTTACCCAAAAAAGATTTACAGCTTGCCTACAGTTAGCTAGTGTGTCAAGTTTAAGTAATTGTAGAGTAGGTGATATTATACTCCGTCCCACGAGAGGTAAACCGGGTGGCGACTAAAACTCGTTTTTTTTATGCTCATTCCCACCACTTTACCATCCCAAGCGCCACCAGTTGTGGGCCGTCGCCAACAACAAGACTCACCTGTAGGCTGCGCCTGTATAATAAACAATGCGTGCATGCTTGTCGACTGTCACATAGTGGGGGAGTTGGAGCAACGGAACAGCTGCTCAGTCTACATCTGCTAAATGATCTACTTCTCTCGTGGGACGGAGTATAGATGCGTCTAATTCATTGTCAATTAATTGTATACATACTATGTATAATTTGCCTCTTTTATTATCATACAACCATTTTTTGATAGGAAAGCTAGAGCATTGCTCGAAGAGCCAGTAGAAGACGATACGGAACTCAAAGAAGAATTAGAAAATATTAGAAACATGGTGGAAGCAGCTAGAACAAAACTGAGTAAAAAAGCTAGGGCTGTGGGACTAATGAAACGAAAACTCGATCAAATACCCGACAGAGCTGAATTGGCCCAATACCAAAGACGATTTGTTGAGCTGTCCAATGAAGGTATACTCTTAGATGTATTGTTTTGTACTTGTTGATATTTTACTTGTATATTTGGTGTCTTATTTTTACATTTCATATTTAATTAGTGTCAGCCAGGTATCGAGAGACAAAACGACATTACGCTCTCTACAATACTCTTAGTGATGTCCAAATGTACTTGAATAAAGAGCTATCACTATTGAGTTCAATTCTGGACGCTTATCCAGAGTATGTAATCAATCAATCGTGTTGTAGAATTTTTTTTATTGCTTATATTTTAATAAACCTTTTAAATTTTAGAGCAGAAAAGTCACCAGAGTCAAAAGAACAGTTTTTGAGGCAGTTAGAAAACATAGATGTTAGCGTAAAACAAACTTTAGACAGGGTAAGTCTTGGGGACTATTTTTGTTTGATGCCGTGTTTGGTAATGATGACTACATGATCGTGTTCGTAGGTGGAAAGTAAAAGAAACAAGGAGCAAAGTATTAAGACTAATCTAAACAACCAGTTGTCCACTTGTATGTCAGCTCACCGACAATATTTAGCTGCCGTAAAAGAGCTTGAGACTGAAGTACAAAAAAATCTCCAACTTCAAGAACAGATTGATCAACTTTAAAATATTAAGGAGTCAATCAAAAGGCAATCTTTAATAGTTAATACCTATTTAAGTAGTAAATTGTATTTAAATTATTATTTATTTTTATTTATATAATATTATATTTTAACTATTAAAACAATACAAATGTTTAAAACTGTCAATAAATGTTATTTTATGTATAACATAAAATGGCCGCAGGCATTCTGATGTACAGTAGGTTAGTCCACTGTAATAAATGGTGTTAAATTTGAGTTGAATGGTACAAAACATTGTAAACAAAAAATGATTTTGAACGAAGATTATTTGTAGTCTATAATATTACTATGTATTTAATGTTATGATTGCGATTAAGAGTAATTTATTTTACTATTAGAAGCACTAATGCCTAACAGTTGGTCAAAATCATTTTTGCTAAAAAAATTACATTTGAAAATGTCATTGTGAGTATAAAATACCTTTATTAATATACATGCTCTAAAAGTTTCATATATCCATGAATAATTTTTAAACTGATGACATTATAATTAAAATGGTAGTTTAACATGTAATTTTGTCCAAACTTGAAGTTAAAATGTCTGTACGAAATAACTTACTATGATCATATATTTTTTATATTTTTTTTTACACTATGAACTATTTATGAGAATCAATGTTAGAATCATTGCCATGATTTTTTTTTGATAAAAGTAGATAATCTTATAAGGAATCTTGTATTACCTAACAATATGCTAGGAGCCTTCTATTAAATTTTAAAGCTTTATCAACCAACAAATACAATTTTATTGATATTTTTATAGAAACTGAAAATGTCCATAAAGAGCTCAAAATAAGTCAAAATATTTGGAAAATGTGTATAGAAAATGCTAATATAAATATTCAGTCAAAATGTCATGTACCTACGGTCATTTGTTTAAGAGTTGCACCAAAAACCAAAATCGATTTTCTCGAAAATAGATTTTGCGTAAAAATGCCCGTTTTTCCTTAATTTTTCTTTTGTTTTTCACGACGCATATTACAGACCAATAGACTATGGTGGAACTTTTCTACTTTACCGGACACCCTTTTTTTTGCAATTTTTTTTTTTTAAACTTATGTAGTTAAGCACGCTGAAAACGATGGTGAAGTCCAAATTTGGCGCACGGACTTAGTTTTGAAGTTATAGCCTTTTGAAGTTCGCTATTTTGCGATTTCCATGCATTTGCGCAACACTATACTTTACCGCGCCTATTACGAATATTAATATTTTTTTTTTTCGATAAGTGCCGTAAAACTTGTAATCACTGCTTATAAGTAGGAAATCTAGGGCAAAATTATTTATTATCAGGAGGATTGAACCACGACTGTTACCGCACGACGACAAGTTGAATTTTTTTCAACTTTCTGGTAACGCCTGGTAACATGGTATATTAATTAGGTAACCACAATATTCAGCCAATCAAAACACTGTAATTTTAGGACGACGTCCTAAATTATGGACGACACGATACAGTGTAAAGGCACCTTAAACAGTTTACTTGCGGTTAGCGCCGGTTACACGCCTATTCTTTACTGGCGCGAAAACATTAAATTTCATTTTAAATATTCTATACTATGGAGAAACATATAAATTTGTTTGATTTAATGGAATGGTCAAGCCTGAACGATGGCTTAGGTTTGATTGTCAAATTACAGTCATTTGGTATATTGCCAAATGAACAAAATTGTATACGAGGACATCCGATGAGATTGGTTAAAGATCAATCGTCAATCGATAAATACAAATGGATTTGTCGTGCAAAAATTAACAAAAAAGGAAAAAAATCATGCAATTATAGGTACCTAAATAGAAAATTACTAAAACTACTGGAACAAATCTAATTTTGCAGCCTCGCAAATTGTTCGGAAATCTATGTATTTCAACGAGTTAAAATTTACGTATATGTATACCCGCGCCACAGTACTCCCGCGCGGGGTGGTATTTTTGTTTTACCGATTTCTTTTTTTTATATTATTATGGCTATTTTACGACTGTCTCATTATTACTAAATTGTATATTATTACTAATATGGGAACTTTTCTACTTAACCTCGATTTGGTATGCAACGCCTTCCGAAGTAGGCCACAGGTTTAAAAAAATGCATTTTTGTTGCACCGATTCACCGAGCGGGGTCACTCGATCGCTGCGCTCGCTCGGACAATTAAAACGAAAATATCCCCCGATTTGCTGTGCAACACCTCCCCAAGTGGGCCAATTTAATATTTTGCTATAATGTGTAAAATACCTTAAAACTTTCACCCCTTCAATTATAATATATAAGCGCGCGGTAAACTAGTGTTGCGCGAATGCGTGAAAATCGCAAAATAGCGAACTTCATTAGGCCATAACTTCAAAACTAAGTCCGTGCGCCAAATTTGGACTTCACCATCGTTTTCAGCGTGCTTAACTACAATAATTTCAAAAAAAAAAATTGCAAAAAAAAGGGTGTCCGGTAAAGTAGAAATATACCACTATGGTTTATGGACTATTTATATTTTATATCATTTAAGCCATGTTCCAGACAGAAAAAAAACAGATCGTTGTACAGAAGCTCTCCCGGTGGCAGAATTGAGAATAACCGTACGTCGTGTGACTTTTGCCGGGCCATATTTTGTTTACGGAGTTTGGTCTCCTTATCACTAATCTTCATGGATAATAATATAACTTAACCAAGGTTAATCCACCCTGAATTTAACCACAGAAATATAACCATAGATATATTGATATCCACCTTGCCAATACAACGGGTTACGTACCACCTAGATCCCTCGACAAGACAGTTGTAGATCCTCGTACGTCAACTGGATCTCTTTGGACATTTAGAACCTCATAGACATTTAGATCCCATACCAACTATAATCTCCTTCGTCATTTAAATACCCAGATTTTGTCTATAATTTTAAAAACTTATAAAAACACGTATATTATACTAATAAATATATTTTAATTAATTCAACTGTAAGGGCCGGTCGCATAAACGTTCATTAGCGATTTACAGAGCCGTTAACGCAAATAGCATTTATAAACTATAGAAGTAATGGTGACAACTAAGTGATGCTGGTAAAATGTCTAATTTTATCAATTTTAAACATTATTGTGTATTTTTAAGAATTTTGTTTATTATAAAATTATTTTTAAAAAATTAAAGACGTTTACATTTTAATACTTAGACGATTATGTGTATAGGTTTGCAAAATTTAAGATATGCAAATTAAATACAAGATTCCTCAAAAGTTCGTCTACCTTTATCAAAAAAATGTCTACAAGAACATCAAAATTATTAAATTTTTATGTGCTTTTGAAGTTTATATTTGTACAACGTTGGATATTCACTATGTAGCGATTTTCTCATTTTGTTGTAATTCAAAAACGAATAAATGTAGATTCATGAAAAGTTCACTGCAGAATGTTTCTATTCCCATTTTATATACACTATATAATTTTGAAAATATTTTGACTTGTTTTAATGACAATATCCAATTTCAATTATTTTAGTTTTTACTCTAAGTGTCAATAAAATCGTATTTGTTGGGTAAAACTGCGTGAAAATGTAATACAAGGCTCCTGATAGGGAAGTGAATCTCGTTGGTATTTTAGGGGGTGAAAAGCAAAAATAATTTTCCTGTAATTTTCAAAATCGAAAAATTAAGGAAAAACGGGAATTTTTACGCAAAATCGATTTTGGATTTTGGTATAACTCTAAAAGAAATGACAGTAGATATATGAAATTTTAACTGAATGTTTCAAAAACGAATGAAAAATATTAAAAATCCATACTCACAATTTTTTTTTTTAAGCATTTTAAGTTCAAATATTGACAAAATACGTAAAATTCACGAAAATGTGCAAATTATTTTGAGTTAAAAATGCATAAAAATGTTTATATTTAAATGTAAGATTTGAAAATGTAATATAAGATTCCTCATAAGTTTGTCTACCTTTATCAAAAAAAAAAAAAATGTCTACAAACAAATCAAATTCAATTTTTATGAGTGGTTGAAGTTCATATTTTTACAACATTGGATATTCACTTGATTTCTCATGTGGCAATTTTCTTATTTTATTGTAATTCAAAAATTAATAACTGCAAATACATAAAAATGTCACTTAATGTTTATATTTTAATTTTCTATATACAACATACAATTTTCAAAATATTTTGACTCTTTTTTTTTTTTGTCAGTTATCAATTTTTTTAGTTTTTTAGCCGCTGTAAAATATCTTTAGACTGAAGTACAAAAGACTGACTTCAAGATTTTGATCAACTTTAAAATATTTAAGAGCCAATATCAATTGGCAATCGTAGTAGGTACCTGTTTAAGGAGTACCTATACATTGTATTCAAATTATTATTTGTTTTTTTATTTATATATATTTTAATTATTAAAACAATAAAAATGCTTAAAATTGTTAATAAATATTATTGTATATATAACAAAATTTCTTAAGTAACAAAAAAAAAAAAAAACGTGTAATAACAAATCTATTGTATTTAAGTGTACCAATCTAAACTGCTATGGAGTAATCTGAATGCTTTTGTGGGTTGTTATTTGACACAGGTCTCGACCATAGTGTCGACTTTCCCAGGTTGAGTTTCTTTAAAGTGTCCGAGTTGCTGCTGTCAGTCTCTGCTCGGCGTGCACTAGTCGTGGGGAACAATGATGTGTTGGCCATCGAGGAAGACCTTTTAGATCTGTTGGTTGGGAACCATCTGCAAAAAATGATTTTAAATAATTCTGAATATAAACGTTTTTTTTCTACTACAACGGGCACTGTTTTTTACCTAGTCTGTGTTCGTCTTGGCAGTGATTTTTGTTCGGTCGGTGGTGGAGATAAGTCCGACGATGTGCTGGACTGTGCTCGGCTGTATATGAAACCTGCGAAAGAATCACGACAGTACATCAATTAGACAACCGGCAAAAAAATGGAAAAACAAGTGTCGACAAACACAAAACGTCAGAAATTTAATAATATATTAACAATCGATTAAAGTAATATTGCA